AGTGAACTTCACACTAGAGTCAAGGTCAGGGCTATTGTTCTCTTTAACTCATATTTGAATACACAGAGGGTATCCTACCTTGGGCTTGCAGAATTCTTTTCTCAAGAAGTTCTTCATATGTATTCTAACATTGTGATCCCTTAGAAACACCCATCTTTTTTAGTACCTCTTTCTTGTGTACGTTCCTGGTGGTTTAAATAATTCATGTGTCCTGCAGCCGCTTTTCTAGTAAAGGATAAAAATGAAAGAATAATTCCTACATTTGCAAAGGAATCAGACAACAAGCCTTTTTCCCTCTCTAAATCTGGTAACTATTCTATCTGATAAAGAAACACTGCAAAAGAATTTTTCCTCTGTGGGTAAAGCTATCCAGAGACAAAAGACAATGCTAACATAATTACTTGCTATGTATTGTTAAAAAGAATAATTGGAATTCAGAAACTACGCAGTGCTTTAAAACTTCAAATAAATCACTAAAGTTCTAATATTCTGGGACTGCTTCTATACCATGACATTACTATAACTCTTTCAACTTTTACTGTAACGTAATATGTCAAGGAATCCTATCTCTTTTCTATAGAAATACCTGAATGCACTAAGGTGACAAAATATTTACACAGAAAAAATTGAACCATAATTTTAAAAAAGTATTTGATAATATACTAATATATGTATATAAATTTAGAGCCTTGGAAATCAATATGAACTGGTGCTATCAGAAAAGGTTTATAGAGAAGGTAAGATTTGAGATGTGTTTTAGGAACAGAGACATTTTAAACTGTGTCCTAAAGTGAAAATAATCTTCCATGATTGTGGGAGAAGATAGAAGACGGGGCATACAACTAAGCTAAAACAACCCTGCACTTATTTAACTGATGAAGCAAGGACTTATGGATAGCATTGTAAAGAAGAATACAAGAACATCTGGATGAAAATAGCTTTCTAGATGAGAATGGTTGCATTTTTTAATGGCTATTCTGGTAGGAAGGACAACATGTGATATTCATCGACCCTCTTTCTCAGACCCTTTTTATAACAGCTAGTATGGAAAAATCTGTCTTTCTTATAAACATTTTCCCTGGGGAATGGTTTCCATTTATGTGTCGGATGCTTTGTTGTTTCTCTCTTGCACAGCGTGTACGCTGTCATTTGAACTTAAGAGTGGAATGGAATTGGGAGTCCTGGTTTCTCGCCCTGGCTAGAGGTCCCAAGTCTGCATTGTGATTTTGGGCAAGTCACATTGTTCTTCTAGATCTAATTCAACTCATCTGTAAAATAAGATGGTTGAATTAGACAATTTCATGGGTTTTCTTAGATGCCAATATTTTATGACTCATGATCCCAAGAAAGACTACACCTATTTATAAGGATGTTTCGCTTGTTTTTATTAAGAGCAACAATAACTACATATTTTCAGTTTACTCAATTATCAAAAAAGTGTAAAATCCATACACACTTTGGATTTGAAACATTATGACTTTGATAAAAATGTATCCATGTAGGCTGGACACGGACACGGTGGCTCACGCCTGTAATACCAGCACTTTGGGAGGCCAAGGCAGGTGGATCACGAGGTCAGGAGATTGAGACCATCCTGGCTAACATGGTGAAACCCGTCTCTACTAAAAATACAAAAAATTAGCCGCAGGTGGTGGCAGGCGCCTGTAGTCCCAGCTACTCGGGAGGCTGAGGCAGGAGAATGGCATAAATCTGGGGGGTGGTGCTTGTGGTGAACTGAGATTGAGCCACTGCACTCCAGCCTGGGTGACAGAGCGAGACTCTGTCTCAAAGAAAAAAATATATATATATTCATGTTTCTGCTGGTTATTCTCCAACTTGGTGAATCCTTCCCATTTTAGAATGCCAAAGAATGAGATGCATCCTAATATCCAATTGGATGTCAGTATCCTCAGATAGCATGTTTCAAAATCAACCTTCACTGTGGTTGTTTTTGCTAGTTGTAGTTGTTTGGACCCTCTTGGAATCTGTACAAACACACTGCTTTCTCTCCCCTGTATTCAATCAGAGCCAAGAATCTGATAAATGTGTTTATCACAGGTCCTTCAGATGCCCTGCAGATGTAAACCTCTACAGTGTTTATGTTTCCTTTTGTACTGCTGAAGATACTGTGCTGGGTCCTGTTCTGCATTCTTGGGGAAAAATAGGGAGCTCACACTTTGTGATTAGTGAGCAAAGACAGACCATCCCCAGCACTGCTGCTCGAGCTGTCTCTGTTGCCCACTCATCGTCTCTTTCTATTATGCTTACACTCTGAAGGACATTTGCCAGAGCCAGACTCCCTGGATCACTGTTATTTGTGTCTTTTCTCACCTTCAACATGATCTGAACTGGTGTTTTCATTTGTTAAAAACAACAAGAACATTCACTGGGAAACTTTTGCTGGAATTGCTTCAGGTCATCATAGCTATTTATTCCCTGTCATAAACTGTAATTCTCCATTTCCCTTACTCCCACATCAGGGGAGTTGGTGGTTTATGGTGGACAGTCAGTGGAATTTGATTCAACAGTGGAATATTTCAAAGAACTACCGAGATTATGTACCAGGTTGTAATACTAAGAACAAAACATAAAATATTCTTGGTCTTGATTGCAGTTGGCAGTACAAGAAGAAACAGGCTTATAAAAAACATAAAAGATTTACAATTTGTGGTTGCACCTAAGAAAGAATTTTCTTTGAGAGAAGGAAACAAATCATGGGATTGGCTTAATAAGGGATTTTCTCTATATGATTAAAAATAGAATTATCTCTATATTATTAAAAACAGAAATTTACCTGTATTATTAAAGTGGCTTAGGGTCTAATTGGTCTCAGTTAAAACAAAGTACAGAAGCTAAGGATTTTTTTTTTTTTTTTTGCAGACTTCTGTTTTGGGGGCATGAAATTCAGATTATTGTGCTATCACAAGGGCTTGTATTATCTAGAAAGACCTGAAGTACAAGACAAAATGATTTGGAAAAATGAACATGAATGGGAGAAATGCTTCCAAATATTAAATAGGAAGGAGAATACAAGGGCAAGGTAACTACTAAAAGGTATTTAATCCTAGGTGTTTGAAATCTAGTGCTGATCTTATTGCAGACTAATTTTGCTAATCGCTAGTGGTACAATCAGTGATGTTGGTTAGAATATTTTAGGCTTTGGTAGATCTCAAAAATTATTATTAAATTTGCTCAATTTCCAAGATGCAGCTGATCTTACATTCTTACTGAGTGTCACAGAAGTGCCACCAAAGCTGGGCCCCTAGTTGAGGCACCATAAATGTAAAAATCTAAAGAGAAGGTTGACTGCACAAAACCATAAAGCAGAGAGAATGGTGTGGTAGCTTCTTGGCTGGAGGAATCTGGTTGAGATCATATGACATTTTTTGCTACGGAAACAGTCTTCTAAGGACAAGAGGAGTTTCACATTTTCCCTGAAAACAAATTCAACAAGCATTTACTATATATGGGTGCTTTAATTATCAAGAGGAAATGTGCAATCTCCATTCTAAGCTTCAAGGGTTTTCCTGGTAAGGAAGCATTGATGTAGAAGGGTTCTCTTAGAAAAAAGACTTAGAGACCTTAGTTGTCAGGCCTCTGGATTTAAGCTACATTTTGACTCTGTACACAAATCTAGAACATTCCCTCAATTTGTAATAAGAACAATATTATAGCTGAGGTAGGTGTCATCATGACTTGTGCTAATAGTTTTACTGAGTACGTTGTGTTTATATTCTCTCTGTTTATAATCAGAGAGAATCAGGAGAATTTGCATATTAGAAGAGACAGCCAAAAGTACTTTCTAAACAGTGAATGGCCAAGCTCTCCTTTCTCCCCATCCTCACTACAACGCCTCATAATTTTCTTGGGGCTGAACCTCTTTGGGGAAAAGCTAAGGGGAACATAAGTCCAGTTCATTAGATGGAGCGTATGACTTGGGTTTTGGCAGCATGGTGTTGCAAATCTCTGGGACTCACACGGGCTCTGCAGAGCTCAGGTTTTAGGGTGACAGTGTGATGAAGGTGTCAGCATAGCTGGTGTTCCACTCAGTTTCACATGTACATCGCTCCTGACTGGGCTGGGTGGGGGCAGCAGGGCAGGAGCGTACTACTCTCTGACTGCTATGGACCACCTGGACAATGATCTCACCAGGCTACCTTCAGGGGAGCTCAGAGAAAACCAAGGAAGGATCTTGACAGGTAAAAATGGTGTTGTGATTCTTCAAAGGTGCCTAAGATCTTAGGGTCCTAGAACTCAAGTTTGAGTGAAACATTTTCAGGGATCTTTCTGAACTGTTTCCTGTTCTTGGGTTCCCAGGGAGTGAGCCCCAGGCTAAGGTTAGCTTGGGTTGATGGCATTGTAGCACTAGTCCTGATCTAGGCTGAGGCCTCTGAAGCCTGCCTTTGCAACAGCATGGAGTCTTCCGTGAACGCTGTTAGAAATTACTTGCTGCTTCAAGGGGAGTGCATGGTAAAACACATCCACGTAATGTGGTTTGAACAGAGTTTCTTCTCTATAACTCTACTTTTGTATTCATGTATATATGTTAGGAGAGAAGGAACCAGGAGATAATTGGTCTACTTGATCATTAAACTACATGAGTGAGCATAATATTGTCAAAGACAAACAAAGTACAAAAACATCTACTCTTCTTCCTTTATCTCTAGAGAAGTTCAGAGAACATGAACAGGTGTACGATTTTCCTTGACATGTTTGTCAAGGCATCAAGGAGCGTGCAAGTAATGCCTCTCTGACAGTTCAGGTCTTGTGCCAGATTTAGAGGCAACAGCCAAGCATTAGAATTGCTGGGATTCTTGACATATGAACTTGAAAGCACTAATGCCCACATTTGCACATGTAAAGTGGCATTTGGCTATAGGACTTTGATAAAGATGTGAGCAAATGGAGCAATATCTCACTATAGATATACCATAAAAAAAGTTTTAACTGGGACTCCTACAGTGAATTTGGCTTCTTTTCATCATTGTATTCTATTCCAGATGATCAGCTGAACTCAGAGGAAAAAAAGAAGCGAAAGCAGAGAAGGAATAGGACAACCTTCAATAGCAGCCAGCTGCAGGCTTTGGAGCGTGTCTTTGAGCGGACACACTATCCTGATGCTTTTGTGCGAGAAGACCTTGCCCGCCGGGTGAACCTCACCGAGGCCAGAGTGCAGGTAACTGAAGCTGTGGGAAGCTGGCACCAAGTAGTCCCCTCCTCAGAGGCACATCTCTGAAGACTGTTTAAAGACACAAATTATAGCCCAGCGCAGTGATTCATGCCTGCAATCTCAGCACATTGGGAGGTTGACACAGGCACATTGCTTGAGCTCAGGGGTTTGAAACCAGCCTGGGCAGCATGGTGAGACCTCATCTCTACCAAAAATACAAAATAAATAAACAAATAGCCAGGCATGGTGGTGCGTGCCTGTGGTCCCAATTTCTTGGAAGGCTGAGGTGGGAGAATTGCTTGAGCCTGGGGGGTGGAGGTTGCAGCGAGCTGAGATTGTACCACTGCACCCCAGCCTGGGTGACAGAGTGAGACCCTGTCTCAAAAATAAATAAATAAACAAATAATATACAAGTTAGAGGCTTCAGATGGGAGCTGGTACTCATAAGGGTTGCAAATGGTCAGCATAAGGATAGAATCCTGTTTCCAGCTGTTTTTCTTTGGGCAGCAAGTATTTTTTTTTAAATAAAATTGAATGTTTTCAGGTAGGGCAGAATAATCTTTGCTACAGGTTCCTCTCCCAGCTCCCGTTTCTTTCTGACACTTCCAGATTTATGTGATATACATTGTCCATCTGAGCATTTTACTCTGCACCCTTAGATTTCACTTTGATCTTGAAGTGGTTAAAGAGATGAATTCTCTGTCCCCTACCTCAGCTCTCCTCCTCAGTCTTCAAGAAACTTGTTGTAAGTACACATGAATATGAGCACTGATGGAGTGGGAAATGAATACTTAGGAACTGAGTTAAGAGCACACTCAAGTGGATGATTTTATTTACCCTCAGTGTCTCTGTGAACTGAAAGAGGGTAAGAGCATGAAAGGCAGGAAAAAGACAATAGCCACTCTTTCTAACATTAGTGCCATGACACATCAGCTGCAAGCCAGACATCTAGAACATCATACAACCTGTGATTAACAGTCATAACAATAATGACAATGTATAATAACTAACACTACTGGAGCCCTTATATGCCAAGTAGTGTTCTTTACATAAGTAATGTATTTCATCCTCACACTAATTCAACGATGTGGATAGTATTCTTCATTTTGCAGATGAGAAAACTGAGGTACAGAGAGGTTAAAGTATTTTGCATAGCATCACATAGCTAGGAAGTGTCTGAAATAGGATTTGAATGCAGACATGCAGATCCAGAGTTCATGCTTTTAATTACCCCCACCGCCCCCCGCCCCAAAAAACTGAATGAATAAAAGTCTCCTGGCTAAATGCCTTTTGAAGTAGTGCTTTGCTCTCTGCTGAAAGATCTTATTGTCTTCCATATTGCCAGTAGCAAGATGCTGTTTTGATAAGGTGGGTAGGTCCAATCTGTCTTGTCTTCCTTACGAAATTATTGTTTGTATATCTATGTTCTGTCTGAGAGTTAAGAATTTCTTTCTGCAAATGATAACCCTCTTGACAGGCCAGAACTTGAGCTAGACCCCAGGGTAGATTTCTACCCCATTGATTAGGGTGTGTGTCTATGGAGATGACACAGTATACAGTGGGAGACCACTGTGGAGTTGATGCAGAGATCCTGGTACTCCTTTCAGTCTGAAGAGAAAGTGTGAAAGTCTCCCTATGGGGAAACAGGGACCTCACCAAGAAGTATGCCCCAAGAAAAAAAATGAAAATGTCAGTGACAAAAGAAGAAAGTTATGGGAACCTGTGGGGTCCCTGAGGGTAGGTTAGGAGGAAGTGTGAGTGCAGGTGCCCTTTGGGCTCAAGTAAGAGTGACCTATAGGGACAACACTCAGTTTTGCTCTCCCATTCGCCATCCAGGGCAGATTATTAAATTTGTCTTCCCACACCCTCTTCCCCTACACTGCTCACCGCAAATCTCTAACTCTGCTCTTAAATCCTTTCCTCTCTCCTCAAAAACTCCATGTCTTTTATGCCACAGCTCAGCTTGCAGTGGTGTAATGAATACTTTTAGTCCAGTAACCCACAGCACACTAATGTGCCACTTTTGCTATGGTGATCTAAATTTTAAATAAGGAAACCTGCAGAGGGCAATGGTAGACATTTCAAAAAAAAAAAAAAAAAAAAAGTGAAAGACCAATTTTGGGGTTGGTGGACTGTCTTGCCCCTATCATGACATATGAAAAAGACAGGGAAATGTCTTTTTCATATGTTGGAACTATTTTTTTCTTTCTCTTTTCCCACCTTGCTGTGATGTAATGACTTTTAGAGCTGTGAACATTTTCTAAGTGAGTAGGACAGAGTTCTCCCTCCATGATTTTACTCTTCCCCCATGAAAGCCTACCTTTTTCCCGTCTGAACCAACCCCTTCTGATTCCGGGCTTCTTTATATTTATGGCGTTTATCATAACATGAAATGTATTATATTGAGTTGTATCTGGGCCAACTTCCCCCACAGGACTGAGGAGGCCCCTTGGATGGAGGCCATGTTTTATTCATCTTTGCAAAATTTATTTTTTTCTTCTTTTTCCTCTTTTTTTCCTCATACACTTATCAAGCACATATTATGCTCTTGAACCCAGTTTTGATTTGCTGGGGATGAATAAGACACCGACCCTCTCCTTAAGGATGTTTGCACTGGGGTGGAGAAGATGGATGTGCAAACCATACATTTATGATATCATAATATGATTCCTACATCAGTGGAATGTACAATAATTAGTGATAGAGCAGAGGAAGGAATGATCTAATTTGCCTGGGGGAAAAGGGAGAGAATTTATATTTATTAGACACCAATTCTGGGCCAACTCTCAAAACTATCCTGTAAGTAGATATTATTATCTCCAATTGATTAGGAGAAAAAGGAGCGGAGAAATTAAACAACTCCCCGGACAAATCTTGAAAGTAGTGTAGCCAGTATGACTTTTAAGTTATGTTCAATGTTAAAGTTGAACTTTGAAAAGAATATGTAGGCTTTGATACCTGGACAAAGCAGGAAAGAATATGATAGGCAAAGGAAATATCTGGTGTGAATATTTTTAGGTAGGAAATAGCCTAACACATTTAGGAGTCCACAGGTAATTTTGAACACAGGGTTGGAGCTGGAGCCATAGAGGGCCAGTGTATGAGGTTAGAGTGATGTGGCTTGTGGCTGGATTGATAGACAAAGAGCTAATTCCTGAACAGCTTTAGTTCTACGGTTAAGAAGTTTTTATTTTATTCTGTGACTGATGGAGAGCCAGTAGATGATATAAAACAAGGCACTAATGCGATTATATTAACATTTAAGATGATAGCTCTAAGAGCAATGTGAAGGCACAATAGAAACAGAAGAGCCAGGAGTCTGGGAAGCCAAGTCCAGATTCCACCTTGGCCAATTTCCACCCAGGCCCTTCATGCTGCGCAGCTCTACAGGGAACTGATCACATGGTATTTTATGTGTATGTTGTCCCCTCGAGCTGTACAACTGCTCACTCCACAAAAAGAATTTTCTTCTCCCATACCTTGTTATACATTTCTATAATTGCATTTAAAATACTTGTTTTGCAGTTTTTCAAATTTACATGTCTTCCTTTAATAGGTTGTGAGCTGTTTAAAAGCAGAGCATAAGCTTCTCATCTCTCTCTTTCCAGCAGTTAGTACAGGGCCTGGACCATAGGAGGAGCTCCATAAAGATTTCTTGAATGAGTAAATGAATGAGTAGAATTCCATAGCACTCTAGAAGAGTCGTATGATCATGAATTGGATGTCCTTGAGTTCAGAAACTCAGCCATTTATTATTTATGTGAATTTCAAGAGATTACAGTCATATGATGCTTAACAATGGGGAATCTGTTCTGAGAACTGCATTTTTAGGTGATTTTGTCATTGTGCAAACATCATGGAGTCTACTTACACAAATCTAGATGGTATAACTGACTGCACACCTAGGCTATAGGGTATAGCTTGTTGCTCTTAGGTCACAAGCCTGTACAGCATATTACTCTACTGAATAGTGTAGGCAATTGTAATACCATGGGAAGTATTTGTGTATCTAAACATATCACATTTAATTATAATATAATTAAGTTATAATTATTATAATTTAATGAGACCACCATCGTATACGAGGTCCATGATTGACTGAAACATTATTATGTGGTGCATGACTGTATTTAATCTCATTGAAATTGCTTTCTAACTGTAAAATAGAAATATTAAAACCTAATATGTGAAATTGTCATGTTGACTAGAAATAATGTATGTAGTGTGCTTATATAAGTTCCTAGCCCTAGTAACACTTAACAAACAATATTGTTTGCCCACTTTTTAATGGGATTGTTTGTTTTTTTCTTGTAAATTTGTTTAAGCTCCTTGTAGATTCTGGATATTAGACCGTTGTCAGATGGATAGATTACAAAAATCTTCTCCCATTCTGTAGGTTGCCTGTTCACTCTGATGATAGTTTATTTTTCTGTGCAGAAGCTCTTTAATTAGGTCCCATTTGTCAATTTTTGCTTTTGTTGAAATTGTTTTTGACGTTTTCATCATTAATTCTTTGCCTATGTCTATGTCCTGAATGATATTGCCTATATTTTCTTCTAGGGTTTTTATAGTTTGGGGTTTTATACTTAAGTTTTTAATCTATCTTGAGTTAATTTTTGTATATGGTGTAATGAAGAGGTCCAGTTTCAATTTTCTGCATATGACTAGCCAGTTCTCCAAGCACCATTTATTAAATAAGGAATCCTTTTCCATAGCTTGTTTTTTTCAGGTTTGTTGAATATCAGATGGTTGTAAATGTACAGTCTTTACTGAGTTTTCTATTCTGTTCCATTGGTCTGTGTGTGTGCTTTTGTACTAATACCATGCTGTTTTGGTTACTGTAGCCTTGTAGTAGATTTTGAAGTCAGATAGTGTGATGCCTTCAGCTTTGTTTTTTTTTGCTTAGGATTGTCTTGGCCATATGGGCTCTTTTTCATGCTATATAAAGTTTAAAGTAGTTTTTTCTAATTCTGTGAACAATGTGAATAGTAATTTAATGGAAATAGCATTAGATCTATAAATTACTTTGGCCGTATGGCCATTTTCATGATATTGATTTTTCCTATCCATGAACACGGAATGTTTTTCCATTTGTTTGTGTCCTCTCTGATTTCCTTGAGCAATGGTTTTTAGTTCTCCTTGGAGAGGTGCTTTACTTCTCTTGTGAGCTATATTCTCAGATTTTTTATTCTCATTGTAGCAATTGTGAATGGGAGTTCATTCATGATATGACTCTCTGCTTTTCTGTTGTAGATGTATAGGAATACTTGTGATTTTTGCACACTGATTTTGCACCCTGAGACTTTGCTGAAGCTGCTTATCAGCTTAAGAAGTTTTTGGGGTGAGACGATAGGGTTTTCTAGATACAGAATCATATCATCTGCAAAGAGAGACAGTTTGACTTATGTAGCAAACCTGCACATCCTGCACACGTATCCTAGAACTTGTAAAATAAAATAAAAATAAATAAAATTAAATGATAGGTTTATTATTAGCTGTAGCAAATGCTGTCTGTGCTGTCCATTTCCCTTGAACCCTACAATTAAGTGTAGTCTGGTCAGCTTCCAAATTTTAGTGCCTGCATTTCTGTGCCAGCACTTTCTTTCTAGAACTTCAGGAGACTGCCCTGCCTTCAGCATTCCAGAAGTGCTGGAACATTAATATCCAACAACTGACAGGATCCAGTGTACACACACCCAACTCCGTCAGCCCCAAGAGGGATAACTCTGAAGTGTGTGTCCTACATTAGTCTTAGTTTTCAGGATCTCTGTAGGATTGAGCTACCACAGAGATAGCTGGTTTAGTAGCACACTCTTTAGTGGTTGCCTTTTCTTCTCTGTTACTTCCTTGCTCCCCAAATGGTGTTCCTTGCGCCTCCCAAATAAAACACTTCATTCTTAAATCTTTGTTGGAACATCTACTTTTGGGAGATGGGGAATTTTCTTAAAATATAATTGTTATGAAAGCAGATGACATTTTCACATTTTGAAGAATTTTGAAAAAGCTTTTAGAAAAGTCATTATTTCTGTGGCAGAAGTCTAATGAGATTTTTCTTGATTACAATTGTAACAGGGATTATAACCCATATTTTGCTGTCCTGTCTGTAAGTCACAGATCCCATCTCCGGAGACCTGATTACTGGAGAATTTCATGGTCTTGTTGTAATAGTCTGGACCTTTAAGAATGGCCCTCATGAGGGAAGGCGTATGGCATGTTTCTATTGTTCTAAGGAGAATTCCATAACCATCTTATATCTTCCTTGGGAAGGCATTACATAGTAAAATCAACCAGAATTTCATCCATGTAACCCCTTCTTCTTTGTTTTTTCCTCTCTTTCCTTATGCCTTCTCGCCTCCTAACAATCCTCCAGGTGTGGTTTCAGAACCGAAGAGCCAAGTTCCGCAGGAATGAGAGAGCCATGCTAGCCAATAAAAATGCTTCCCTCCTCAAATCCTACTCAGGAGACGTGACTGCTGTGGAGCAGCCCATCGTACCTCGTCCTGCTCCGAGACCCACCGATTATCTCTCCTGGGGGACGGCGTCTCCGTACAGGTGAATGACTGGCCCACTCTCCCTTGCTCCACTTCCACATGTTTCTCAGCGGTCGGTCATGTTTCAAGCTGCTTGTGCAGCTCACCGACATTTCTTACTGGGTTAATCTCTTCAGAGACATTCAACTTGCTGACATCCCCACATTTTCCCAGGAGATTATTAGCTGCCCCAGGAGCAGGGTTTGGGGCAGAAGTAAGAGGGGCAGGCTATCTCAGCAATCTCCTCTTGGACTCAGGAACTCTTGCAAAGGTTTCAAAGATGAGGAAGAATTTAAAAGAAAAGATCATTAAGCTGTGCCCAGTGTCCCTCTTGCAACAATTCTGCAACAACACTTTACCCTGTTTCCAAATTTAAGATAAATTCGTTGTATTATGCAAATGTAGGGACTTAACTTGTAAAGCTCCAAGTATAGGGCCAAAGGCAAACTTTGCAGTAAAACTGACTTTGAATTTAAAAAAAGAAGAAGGAAGGAAGAAAGAAAGAAAGGAAAGAAGGAAGGAAGGAGAGAGAGAGAGAGGGACTATGACAGAGAGTGAAGGAAGGAAAACCCAAGTTCATTCTGATCACTTTCATGGCCAAGGTTCTTTGTTAGTAGGTATGAATTTCTTATAATGCCAAATGCCTTCCTAGTCTATTGCTAATTCTTGTCTACTTGTCTGAAGGTTTCTCTGGGGATCAGTTTGTGTGTATTTGTGTGTGTGTGTGTGTGTGTCTGTGTGTGTTTATGTGTGTGTTTCTTTTAAATAAAAAAGGAATGTATAATTTACACTAAACTTTTATATTAAAAAGTTGAACATTTTTAAAGAAACAAATAACAGAGTACTATTTCAATCTCATAAAGAGGTTTTTAACCTCCAATTATTATGCTGTTCAGAAAATACAGGCTGCCAGAAGGGAAGCTGAGACACAAGTGCCTAACCCATTGGATTAGTCTAGAGTGCCTTTCTTTGAAAGTAGACCTGAGTACTCTGAGAAACCAGGCCAAGCCTACGTGTTCTCCCTGGCTGATTTCAGTGGAGGCAGAACTATTCACAAATTCATTTATTATGCTTTTGTTTACCTTTTTATTGTCAAAGTTAATTATTGGTTTAAGGAGAGTTTCTAAATGAAACATAGGAGATTATGTCTCAGATGAAGTTGAATTCCTGACATGAAATGCTACATTTTTGAAATGCAAGTGTTTTTCAAAGGTTCATAGCTTTATTCAAAGCAAAAAGCCTCATCTAAAAGTTTCTTTCTGTTCCAAATCAGTTCCTTTAGAGAAACACGGTAAATGCATTTGGAACTTTCTTTTAATCCCCTGTTATAAAATTAGCCTGAATTCTTTTGGTCTTAGCACATAGAGACCCTCCGTGTAGGAAAGTCTTATTCTGGGCCCTGTTGCACTCAGATGTGGTGTGCCTTGCTGATCTTGAAACATTAGTTATATCTGTGTGCCCTATTTTAAATTTAAACTCTTCTCCTATAAGATTTACTAAAAATACAGTTTTTGAAGACCATTGTAAAATCACATATTCTCTAATATTTTAAATAAATGAAAGTCTGCTTTATTTCTCTTATAAATATTGGTATACGAGAAATTTAGTGTGTTCATAAACATGCTAAATGACTTGGAAAATGGGTGTGGTTCAAAGCCTGATGCTTCAAGATCTCTGGTCACAACCAGGAAGTATTGCTCCTTTTTCTGTATGGGTCCTCCATAGGAATTTTTCACACCAGCAATAAACAATCCAGATGGCTGCCACATGGTCCTTACCAGTGAGAGGCTTCACACAGCACACTGCATGAATGGGGATGAAATCCTTCCTGAATTAATATAGGGTTATATTACTTGGACCTCAGCCCTTTGAGCCTCAGTGTCTGCATCATACGTGTTTAGTATATGGACATCTAACTGAAATTATTAACATGGCAATTTATGCATGCCTGTTTTGGAAATATTCTATTTTAATGGAAAGAATTATGTAGAAATACTGGATACATTTTTAAAAAAATCCATAATTCACCATCTTGACATAACTAGTATGTTCATTTTTGTGATTAGAGTTCAATATTTTATATAGGTGTAGCCTTAGTGTATATATTATTTTGTATTCTCCTCTTTTCACTTAAAATCATATAACCTAGTAGGTTTTACTCATTTCATGGTATGCTTTTATATCATTTCCCTCTTAGAAATTGAATTTGTAAAAATTAATTAAAAAATCATAAAATGTTCATATTCTGTATGAAGAACAAATTGTTCTTCAAATATAAGTAGAAAAGTGATGTTAAAACAGTAATTTAATCAATAATAATGTTTTTGATCCAATGTTGACTGAAGTGTTTATATTTTGGTTAATTTCTAAAAGTAGCAAAAAGCTATTCTGTTATTTGGAGAAGTTTCTGCTATGTTTAGAACCAAACTATGTTATGATTTCACACTTTGAAGCTTGATAGGAAATATTGTTAAGGAAATAAAAAAGAAAAACAAGTGATCCAAAGCAAAGGAAATGATAGACCTTTTGTGTTATGAAAAATTAACTCACTGTTCTTGTTGATACTATTATGTCAAGTTAGTTATCTCACATGTGACACTCATTAAAAGGCATTTCTCTTGGTTAATTCTTGGAACACTCCTGTGTGATAGCTCTGTCTTGCTCTGCTTCCAAAGAAGAGACTAAACACTTGCCCAAATTTAAGTCTTCAGCAAGCAGAACTAGAACTAATGCTTGTGATCCCTGTTTTTATCCAACATGTTAAACCACATGACTGTAGTCTCATTCAAATTAAACCTTGCATTGTATCGAAAGTAGTAAAAAAGTATAAGATTGGAAAACTGTCTAAAATCCCCTTTTTATTCAAGAGCTATCTCAGATCAGTGAGGCATGCCTGCAGCTGAGGTCCACACTCCGTGGGGTGTGGGCATCCCAATGGACTGATAGATGTGGCTTGGTCATACAAGCCAGAGACAGTGAGCAGACAGTTTTACCAGAAAGGATAGTTTGTTGACTTCCACAGTTATCTCCTGAAAAAAGAAAGGAGAAAACCAAGGCATAAAAGCAGTTATTTGCATATGGTCAGAATTTTGGGTTGAAAATAGCCAACATATTTTTTTCTGGGTGTCTTTTACATCCAGAGTGATAGAAGTGTAATTTATTGTTCAAACTGGGGCATTTTTTAGAGTGAAAGGGGAGCGCTATTAATAATTATACTAGGACAACAGGTATAAGCCAGGATTGTCCCTAGGACATATAGTTTGCTCTGATTATAGCACGTCATGACCTCACTCATTCCCTTGATTGAGTATGTTAGAGGTGATGACATTAGGCAGGCAACTGAGTCACCAGAGGGACAAAGCATTCCCTAACACGGACACTGTTGTCCTGGCAGGTGTCGTCTTTATCCATCCGTGGCCAGTTAAAGGAAACTTGTTTTTGGCACACACACCCATTGCTTAACTCAGAGCTATTTTTCTTAGGCAACTTGTAAGAATGAAAGCACACACAAGCACCAGAATTATTCAGACTCACTAATCTTGCAGTGCTTTACTTCTTGGGTAGCAGTGACCAACCAAGTCCTGAACTTTTGACTGTTATTTGAAATGAAGTAGCCAAGAAACATTTTCCCAGAGACATCCTTTCCTAGGTGAAGTGGGTAGTGAATGGCCTGGTTCTGCATTATTGACCTGAAGTGCCGTTTCCAGAGGGAAGCCTGGGCTTAAAAGAAAGCTAGTGATCAGTGAAAGAGAGGCCAGCTATCCTCGTCCACAGCTTCCCTCCCCATCCTTCTCCTCCCCTCATTTGATCATGGTCATGGTGCTGCCTGACATCTGCTGAACACATTTGGCTTATTTCTCCCTTTCACACTTTCAAAAATAGATCCTCGTCCCTCCCAAGATGTTGTTTACACGAGGGGCTTCATAACGGATTCTAACGGAAGACACTGAAAAGGTAACTTGTCAGAGGGGGAAGAGGGCGGCTGCTTGGGGTAGGGTTTAAGTGGGAATTCAGAGTGTTTAAGAAAGTGGGGGTTGCAGTTCTAGAAATTTCAGCAGTGAAGTCCTCAAGTGAGGAATACTATTGGGAACCAGAGCTGCAAGAAAGCATGTCCACGAAATGAATAGTAGGGTGATACTAGTCTAGAGCAGGGCTCTTCAGAGATTGCTGTGCACAGGAAACATCTGGGATCACGTGACTGTGCAAACTCTGATTCACAAAGTCCAGGGTGGAGCTTGGATTCTGTATCTCTAACTCGCTTCTAGGTGATGCTGATGCTGCTGACACTTGGTGCACACTTTGAATAGTGAGACTTTGTAGGTTACCGGACAGGGTTCAGAAGAATTATTTTCTTGTCCTGGCTTCTGCTGCTCCTCAGGCCAGTCAGATCATTGCTCTCTTATATAGCTTTGTATCTAAGATGAAGCTAGCAATAGTTTCCCTATTGCTTATTTCACAGGGGTGTTTGGAACCTACTGATAAGCAATGTGCACTTCAAAAAAAGTCTTGCAACAATAGAAAGATATAAGAGGCTTTATATATAAAAGTATTTCTAAAATGAAAAGTTAAAAGTAGCAGAAAGATCACTGAATATATAGTACAAACTGAAAGCTTACCAATGAAATGTACAAGTGTGTTCACTTTAAAAGATAAATATACATCTTAGAAAATCAACTTCTGAATTTCAAAACATAAGTTAGAAACAGAAGTTAGTTATTTAAATCACAAAAGATCCCTTTCCAAAGAATGTACCAGATCTCTTTTTAAAAGTAAATTTCCCTAGGAAAACTGGTATTACATTTTATCAGGTGAGGCAAGTATGCCTCTGTTGTACTTGCACTGACAAAAGAACAAGCCAGAGACTTTCTGCAACTTCTATGCATCACAATCTTGAACACTGTAACCCCTACAGTCTTTGAAAAAATCCTGAGCTGGTGAAACCCAAGATTTCAGGAAAACTCATAGACTTCTTGGCTGACAGATCTGTCTTTAGGGTGAAATTGCAAACGTCATCATTTGTTCAAAGGGCCACATAGAAAACAAAGAGTTGAAAATAGAGTCAGGTATTATTTTTTTCCCAAGCTAGCAATTGTTCTGTGATTTGTGGGACTCAACACTATAGGTTTTTAGAAAGCAGAGGGGCAGTTGTCCGTAAGTATCCTGGCTTTAAAATCGTACTACGAATAGTATTTTCTGTACTTCCTCAATGTTTGGCAGTCATTTTAACACATTTTTTTTTTTCCTCACAACTTTCAGGGTAGGTTGAAGTGATAAGAAATGATTTGTCCCCAGTGAAAACAGTCCTCCAACCCTGCTAGTGATTAGCATTCTGCTATCTATGGCTGTGCTGCATCTGTTAGGAATTTCCAAATAAGGAAATGCAAACATTTGAAGCTGATTTAAATGTGTCAACTCCGTGTAAGTCTCAGTGCAGACTAGCTAAATCAACAGATGTGGTGCAAGCATTTATTATTAATCTCTAATTCCTCAGTGCACTTTATTCAGTAATGTGGTTTCTTGGTCATTGACACAAAGAACTTAACTAAAACTAGCTAAAAATGGGGCTTTAGCCAAAGCCTAAAAACTCAGTCCCAGAACTTATGTCTGTACCCTGCTTCCAAGAATAAATGGATTTTACTTAGAAGGCAAGACCAACAGGCAGGATCTCTGGTTGTTGTTAAGCAGGCTTTTGGTTGTTGTCATGTGCTTAATCTGTACAAATCACTTAGTTTCAATCTCACCATTTGATCCGAGCAAGCTTAATCCTGTATAGGAAGAACTGGTCATTTTACATGCTCTGAATGGCTCTATAAATTGGTTGAAAACAGTTAATTACCCTCATTGGACTTTTAAGAAAATACTTTAGGGTTCTCTTTCTTTTCCTAAAGCAGAACTTCAGAAGTTTCCATGACATGGAAAGCAGATGGTCACAAACAATTTCATATTGGCAGCCACTCAAGACTGTCTTGCATCTGTTGACACTTTAGGAGGCAGGTCCTCTCCATCTTACTTCTAATGCCATTTTTGAAGAATGACTAAGCTACTCTCAGAGGACTCACTCACTAATTCTGTCTTTTCTGACTTGTAATAAGTTTTGCTTTTCACGGGTAAATCCAAGGACTGCTCACTGCTTGCTATATTGCACCCTTAGCTTAAATTGAGAAGCTAGATCCATGTCAAATTACTGGAAAACAGACTTGCAATTATTTAGTATGTTTACAAAATATTATTGGAATCCATATTTGTAGGATTACATATTCTAAAAATTTTTAAGAGGCTGTGAATTAAGATGGCTTTGGTTCTTTTATCCTACTTCTTATGGCTATGGAATGCTGGAACAAGTTAAATCAATTTTGAAAGTTTATACATTTCCTACGCATTTATCAAGTGAAAATGTTATCACCTATCAAGCTCCTAGGGAGCTGCAAAATTCATTCATTAAAAACAACTGCTTTTTAATCCTCATGCTCCACTAATTTGAGGGATACCTATAAGACATTGTCACAGACTTGCCTCTGCTGGTGTTCTTATACAACGTCACTGTATAATCAGACAAGGGCACTGTTCTTTACTGTGGAAAAGCAGGCTGCAATTTATGTGAGAAATGTCCCAGTAAATACCTAATCTCCTGTGCAATAGATGATCTGAATCCCATTAATTTGTTTCTGAGATAGAAAGTGCATTAACATTCATCTCATTTGGGATATCACTGTCTTGCCTACATTTGAGAGAGAAACTCAATATTTCCAAGAAATGTGTGACCCTACTAAGTCCTCAGACTAGAATATCAGGTGGTAAAGCTAGTTGACTATGAAATCACTACAACAAAAATGGTTATGCAATAGACAACTCGTAATCACTATTATAGGAGACATTTCTGGGAAATAGCAATAGCATCTTCAGTAAACTAAAATAATCTCCCCAGGGTTCTAATCTCCCTTTTTGGCTAAAGAGATGGAACACAACTTTGATATCTAAGAAAGGTCAAATTTCTGTTAAATAGGACTTTGCTTGTTCAGAATCTCAAAAAACACATCTCTCAGAAAATTAGACCAAGTACTTAAAGCACAATATTCTATGACAATCTACAATTTAGCATCAGAAAATTTTTCTTTATCCTCTCTCGTGAAGTTTTAGCTTTCTGTTTTCAGAAGCCATCAAAATTTCTTCTCAATACTTAGCAAATAATACAGGCAACTCCTAATTCCAGGTTCTCTTCTATGTGTTTAAAATTATACTAACTGTGCATCATCTTTAGGGCTTAATTCTGTCACAGAAACCTGATTATGAAAGGTTGATTTGGTTGATTTTATAATAATCTATGACTTAGGTACATTTTCCAAATTCAATAGTCTTTTTTTTTTTTCTCAGATACTTAGATCGGATTCTTGGCATATCCTAGAAATTTTTTTAATATAGGTTTTGTGGGTTTATGTACATTTATGGTAAGGTCTTGAGTGGAACCGTGAACTAAATGATAATACGTATATGAGTTTTGAAAATAAGTGACATTTCTTGGTATATTCTAAAAAAAACTTGTCCCACTTTAGTGTATTGTTCTGGTCATTTATCTCACTTCTAATTTAAACCTACCTTAACTGGGAACTCTTCTGCTTCTATCCCTTGATAGGTAGTGGTAGAAGTGATAGTCTAACTATACTAATAACTTGTTCAGTTTTTATTGTGAAAGATATTTTTTGATGGGTCCAAGTATACACAGTCATCAGCTTCTACTTTTGTCATTACCTACTGACTTTGCTCTTTCTATTAAGATAGTAAAATTGGCAGTAAGGACCAGTTCCTGTGAATAAAAGCACATTGGTAAGATATATTTTGTTTTTAGAAATCATTGCTCACAGCAGAATGACAGAAACCAATGATATCGAGCAGGAATCAATTTAATTATACTATATCTAGATATTTCTTAGTTATCTGTTTATTCATTGAACACATAGTACTAGATATGGTGTCATTTCTACCTGAGGAAACAGTGTGAACAAGGCAGATGTGATGTCTAATCTATGGAGCTTATAGTTGAAACAGTGATAGATACTAAAATTATTAACTAAACTTGAATCGAGTGCTAAAAGCAAAAGTTTAGTGTGCTATAATAGAACATAGCTTTGTCTAGCCGTGTGCACACACACACACACAGAGTCACCCATACATTTAACCAGGGCTATAAAGATTTTAAATTAAAGGTGTATATTTCTGGAAATACCTAGTGATCTGGGACTCATTATATTTCTTAATTTTTTTGAGTTAATTATTAGTAAGTGAGCTGAAATAGATTATGAGTTTTGACTCTGTGTGTCCCAAATAAGAATCAATGACTTACATTCTATTTGTGGAGTAGCTTTACTTTTCTCTCTTTCTGATCTTGTCACTTGATCCCCAGAACCACAAACTTTTATGTGGCTGACAAAATTCCATTGGAATGTAGGCAACAGAAGAGCACATGTCATTCCATTTATAAGTCTATCTCATTCCAGCCCTGAGTTGAAAGATTTTGCTAAAGCAACTAAAAACATTTTTATTTAATTAAAATGCATATCCTTTTAACTATTTAGTAGAAAGAGTAATTTACTATTAAGTCTATAAAACCATTTCTTTTTCCTGTAATAGAGATTCATGGATGCAATTAACAGAAACCCACCAACGATAAATTTCTGCCTACCAGTGTTCTTAGGTCCTCATTGGAATCTCTGACAATGAAAAACAACTTCAGATTTTTCTCAGCAATAAAGACAGCGAGAAACAGTTACCTCTGAAGTCAAGAATGCTGAAAATGGAGACTTTGGTAGTTTATCTAGTAGATTTAAACATTTTCAAAATAACTGACCCAAAAGGCAGTGTGTGCTATTCAAGTTCTTTTGAGGAGTTTTAAAAATCAAGGCCAGTGGGTTAATAACCTCTTGATTCAGCAATACTTGGTACTATCAACCAGTAAATTAAGAATGGCAGAGAACTTATGTCGGGATATTTAACTGGTTCTCCAGGCACATTATTTATTATGGTATTTATTATCTAAAATGTGTTAGAATTAAGGTCAGTTATCTAGAGTGAAGGAGCAAAATTCCCTTTAGTTTATTTTCAAAAGCTTGTTTCTATTTCTCACTGCTCCCACAGGCTGGGGAGGTAGGCAGGACGAGAGATTAAATACTGTTCTAATTAGTCAGCTGATGAAACACCTGCTATTCAACTTGAGCAACTTTCTTCTCCTACCCCAGAAATAAATCATTACTCACTGTATCCACCACAACAAGTACCTCTCCCTCCCTTTCCTCACTCTACACCACTCTCTCCTGCTCTTCAAAACATGACCACTCTTCCCTAAGTACCTTAGACGGATGGAAAGCTGGGGCTGTAAGGGACCCTAGAGGTCATCTAGTCCAAGCCATTGCCCCTGCCTGCCCCCATGCTGAGAGTACCTCCATCTGGGGCACGGACTTGCAGCTTTGTGAAACTAACGCCTGTTATTCTCCCTGCTCTCTCCTTTGTCCCTACAGCGCCATGGCTACTTATTCTGCCACATGTGCCAACAATAGCCCTGCACAGGGCATCAACATGGCCAACAGCATTGCCAACCTGAGACTGAAGGCCAAGGAATATAGTTTACAGAGGAACCAGGTGCCAACAGTCAACTGAGGAAAAAAATTATTAAACAGGCCTAAGAAGAAATCAAAAACCATAAGACACCTATCCCGCTCTGTTATTTCTTCATCTGCTGGGGGAGAAAAGTAAATTACAAACAAACAAACAAACAAACAAACAAAAAACAGAACTAAAATATTGGGACCATGGCAGAGAAAAGCAGGAGAGGAGCAAAATGAAAATTAGTTAACAAATATTCCTCCTCCCTCTGGGATACCACCACCACTTGTTTCTGTGTGTGTTTATTTTGTTTTTCTTTCTATTCATGCTTTGCTTAATATACTCCAAGCTTCTTCAGCTAGGTTCAGCCCACCCAACCCCATGATTGTATGAAGTTTTAAAAAAAACTACAGCAGCCAAAGAAACCATATATACATCCAGAATGATTGCCTCTGCTCTCCTCACTGACTTGTTTGAACCTCAGTGCCTTACCCTGTCCTCTTCCCAGTTCTCTTGATAGAAGCTCTAGGAGCTTTTGAAAAGCCAAAGTCTTTCTGAAGAATCTGTGCCAGACAGACATAATTCCCTTTCTCATTGTCTCCATCTTTGTTGGTCATGGTAAGGTTTTTCCATCAGCCTCTGAAAAAACAGTTGTGCACATCTGGTCACTGGACTGTCAGATCCAATGTAATTGGCTGTGTCTGGCTAATTCTAAGCACTAAGGTGTACATCTAAGCTATAGATTTAAGCTTGAAGCTATAGATTATATCACTATCACCACCACCCCTCACCATATGCAATCAATCAATCAATCAATCATCTTAAAGATATTTGTTGTCTTTGAATGATTTGCTGTCACAGACTATTTGGTAGAAGAAATATTTTTCACCTGAGAGAGGAAGAGAAATTTCTCTAGTAACACGAACAGTGAGTCGTAAAAGACATGCCCACATCTCTTTCGTGCCTTAAGGATAGTGAGATGCACAGTTATATATATACTGTATATATTTATATATTTATATATATATTTCATATATATATATAATATTGCAAGCTTCAGTTTGCAATTTCCCAAACAGTACAAAAAGCAAATTATACACCATCACCACTGTTCTTATCTCTATAGTGATGAGACATTAATTAGGGATCTTGCTGCTTTTCTTTTTCTACACAAAATTTTCATTAAAGCCACAGAATAATTGATAGAGCAGCTGTTTTAGAACAGGTCTCATTTTCACATTAGGCCTTTAAATGGATTAGAAACTATTTGAGGCTATAAAAATGTCCTTGAGTTTGGAGCCTGAGCTCTGGTGAAATGCTGATACATCTGATCTATCATGGGAATTGCAGTTAGAGAGAGGAGGGAAAACCATTTAGTCATCTACCCTTTCTTCACTCAGCAGGAATATGAAAGACACATGTTTAAGAGGAATACCTAAAGGTTTTTCTAAATTCCAACATTTAAAAGGCAATTGTGGGCTATTTTTATTTTTTAATATTTTGAAATAAAGTTTAGTGTCTAGGGCTGGGAGCCAGGACTGATCTTTCATTTCTTTTTCTTTGTTCCCAGCCATGCTTTTGTAACTTGCCAGGTGGACTTGATCAACTACATTACCATGCTGTGCCTCAGTTTACCCATTTGTAAAATGGGATTAACAATACTTACCTACCTCACAGGGGTGTTGTGAGGCTCTATTCATTTGCTCCTTTATTCTTTCCTGTATTCTCTGTATGTCCAGCACTTTGTAGCCATGGGAGGAAAGGGACTATAAAAGTGTACAGTGTTAATGGAATGATACGGTACCTGAAAGCCTTGTTTTCTAGTAAGAAAATGCTACCTTGCTGTACATACTTATAACCTTGTATTTGGAAATGAGAAATAGGTTTATATTTTCAGATCTCTCAAAAATCACATCATTTGACCAAAGAATAATTTAAGACACACAGAACAGAATTTTTTTTTAATTTATATTTTCATCCTGACCAGCTTAGTTCTAATAATTTCTAGTTGTGAGTGATTAAAAAACTTTGGATCAATTTTGGTCAAATATGGCAACTTTGTAGTCTGAGTGACAGGCAAGGATTTTTGGGTTTAAGATGCACTTTTAGCACACATTTGTATTTCCCTTGGCATATCAGATTGAGCTAATGGTGATGTTATTTCAATCTAACAGCCACCAATCTGAAATTGTATTTCAAATGTTGATTCTGTAGTTCTTTAAATAATAATGAAGCTCATCTTATACATTTTGCTTTCACCAATTGATTCCTTCTTCTTTTAACCCACTATTAAAATATTTCTTACTGAATGGTTCATGTAGGCTTGCTGAAGAGCATGCATTACTTGCTTCCTGAAGAGCTCCTCCATTCATCCTTTTATCCCACTAGTTGCTGTGGATTTTCAAGTTTTGAAGGAACAGTACATCCCAACAGACTGACACATTCTAAGTGAAATGAGTATAATCCGAGAAATTGATGAACTTTGGAGGTTTGGAGTTTGGAGAGAATGGCTAAGAAGATTTGAATTATAGGGAGGGAACAGAAATCATACATGAAAAGGTTTTATTGAGAAGGGAAAAACCTTAGATAGAGGGACATGTGAAACAAAATCATTTGAAATTTTGATTCAGACATCCATTTCCAGTGGCAAACAGCAAAGCCGGAACCCACAAACCCAAATGATCGGTGAAATTGGGTGGTTTTATCCAATGTCTCAGGCAAGCAATGTCTGGGAATATCTTAGAGTAACCGGTGCTGGTCAGCCAAAGAAACATTCACTGCCAGTGAGCCAACACCATAAGCATGTATTATCTAAGCACTTGATCAAGAAGTATACATGTTGTACAAGTTCTCAATTTTGTTCATTTACTATCAATTTTTTAAAATACAAGTTTGGCATGTGATTTGGAAAAGAAACCTTCTGGATCTTAAGCCAGTTGTCAGTTGAGGGCCTCAGGGCCACAAACGTCAAGACATATCTCTGTTCTTCACCATCGTGATACTCCTGATACCAGATACAGGTGAATACATAGGAACTGTCTGCCTGTGTCCTCAATCTCCCTCCAAACAAGATGCTGATTTGTAGGGTACTTGGCAGGTTAAATTAAACCAGAAGAGGTGACTTAATAAAAAAGGGAATGACATTTAGGGTATAAAGATCTCATAAGAAATGTAATATGTAAATTATATCTTGCTTTATGTTGTAAAATATACATTGTTTGCGCTAGAATAGAAATGATTTCTTTTCAATAAAAAGAAAGGACACTACCATGTCTTTTGCTATATACACTTGAGCCTGCTGATTCTCTTCTCTTTGAACTTTGAAAACACAGATCTGCTAGAATCTGAGATTACATGCAGAAGAGTGAAGGTAAGAAGGGCTCATAGACAAGAGAACTATATCTGAGGGTGATATTATTTTCTATATAACAGGAAAATAATCTATTTTTCCTCAGAAACAAAGACAACAGTAGGAAGAAGAGGGGACACTTAACTATTATAATAGATGAGAATAGAGTGGAACTTTTATGAGAGTTTAGCATTATTAAAATCAGTACCTTTAACATTCACAATACTGTCCAGTAAGGATCTGTACAGGTGAGGAACAAGTGATGGCTTTTCAAATGAGGGTGTGGAGAAGTAGGAGTGAAGGCAGGGTTATAGGAATGAGGAATTTGTGTTCAAAGATATATGGCAAGATGGGCCTGGATGAGATGGAGAGTTAATTTTAAAGTTGAATGGAAGATACTAGAGATGCAAGTTGAGGCTTAATCTTGCAGGGTACTACACGTCAAATATGTTTGGACTTTTCCTCAGGCCACAGAGATCCACTGAAGGCTTTTGAGTATTAAAAAAAGCCATGTGAAAAAATGCTACTTTAGCAGGATCAAAAGAATGAAGGTAAACTAGAACAGAACAGGAACTGGAAGCAGATCAGATAGAAGTTACTGTGAGAGGAACAAAAAAGAAAGGACGATTAGAAAACATCTTGCAAGGAAAGAATCACTGGGACTTCACAGCAAGAAAAAGAGAATTGAGTCAAAGGTAATATTGGTTTAAAACCTGGGGACTGGGAAAATGAATCACTGACAAAACTGACAAAATCTACCCAAAATGGGAAAGACTCAGCTACAGAAGATAAACACAGTTTTCGTTGTATTATTGAAGCTGAAAATCCAAAGGTAAGCATCCAGTAAGTGAAGACATAAAAATGGGACTTGTTACCAAAGTCAAAGATGGAGATATAAGTTTGAAATTAATATTTAAGGAGGTGATACTTAGAGGTACAATAACAAATGGGTTCATTGAAATGAGAGAGTGCCATTATGACTGAAATAATTATTCCCAGTAAATGACTTTTGAAAGTAGTTTTAGCCAGGGAGGAAGATTAGACTTTGAAGAACATCTTTAGCTGGAGAGATGGCTAATAAAGTCTATTTAAAAAAAGCTGTTTGAAAAATAGGAGGAGATTTAATCTTCTTTATTATTCCAGAGTTAAGAGAGGTTTTCAATAAGAGGGGAATGTTTGATATATTCAAATGCTATAGAGAAGGCCAGCTAATCGGGAATGGAGGAAAGGCCATTGGATTCATGACTTTTGAAAGTACAGTTTACCTGAGTGCTGGAGGAGGAAGGTTGATTTAGCAAGTTATGGTAGGAATAAATGCTTTTAAAAAATGGAACCACTTGCATGGCATTATAAGCCTATTAATAAGGATTCTTTCATTTGCAGGTAGCAGAAACATCAAACTAGTCAAATTTATAAAGAGGCTTTATTTGAAGGACAGCTCATGCAGCCGAGACATGCTGCCAGAGCCGGGACAGCCCCAGGGATCCTAGACCCTGGAACAAAACCTGTACCTGTTTTCGTTAAGTTGGGCTGCTCTAACAAGATACTATAGTCTGGTAGCTTTAAAAACACAGTTATTTCTCATAGTTCTGGAGGCTGGGAAATCCAAGATCAGGATGCTGGCAGATTCTGTATCTGGTGAGAGCCCTCTTCCTGAGACAGCCATCTTCTTGTGGCTTTACGTGACAAAAAGAGTGAGCTCTAGTTTCTTTCTCTTATAATGATGCCAATTCCACAATGGTGGCTCCACTCTCATGACCTCAGCTAAACCTAATTACCCCCAAAGACACTACCTACTAGCAATATCCGATTGGGGGTTAAAGTTCCAACATATGAATTTAGAGGGTACACAAACACACAGTCCTTTTAAAGTAAGAATGTTAGTCTGTTCTCACACTGCTAGTAAAGATATACCTGAGACTGGGTAATTTATGAAGGAGAGAAGTTTAGTGACCTCACAGTTCCACAGGGTGGGGAAGGCCTCACAATCATGGCAGAAGTCAAAGGAAGAGCAAAGGGTTATGTTACATGGCGTCAGGCAAAAGAGCTTGTGCAGGGGAACTCCCATTTATAAAACCATCAGATCTTGTGAGACTTATTTACTACCATGAGAATAGTATGGAGGAGACCGCACACATGATTCAGTTATCTCCACTTGGTCCTGGTCTCGGCAAGTGGGGATTATTACAATTTGAGGTGAGATTTGTGTGAGGACATAGCCAAACCATGTCATTCCACCCCTGGTCCCCTCTAAATCTCATGTCCTCACATTTCAAAACCAGTCCTGCCTTCCCAACAGTCCCCCAAAGTCTTAACTCCTTTCAGCATTAACTCAAAAGTTCAAGTCCAAAATCTCATCTTAGACAAGGCAAGTCCCTTCCACCTATGAGCTGGTAAAATCAAAAGAAAGTTAGTAACTTTGTAGATACAATGGGGGTACAGGCATTGGGTAAATACACCTGTTCCAAAAGGGAGAAATTGGCCATAATGAAGGGGCTACAGACCCCATGTGAGTCCACAATCCAGCAGCACAGCTAAATCTTAAAGCTTCAAAAGGACCTCCTTTTATTCCATGTCTCACATCCAGAGCATGCTGATGGAAGAGGTGAGCTCCCATGGCCTTGGTCAGCTCCACCTCTGTGGCTTTTCAGGCTACAGTGCCCCTCCTGGTTGCTTTTTCACAGGCTGTTCTTGAGTGTCTGTGGCTTTTCCAAGAGCACAGTGCAAGCTGTCAGTGGATCTACCATTCTGGGGTCTGGAGGATTGTGGTGCTCTTCTTACAGTTCCACTAGGCAGTGCCCCACTCTGTGTGAGGGCTCTCACCCCACATTTCCCTTCTGCACTGCCCTAGCAGAGGTTCTCCATGAGGGCTCTGCCCTTGCAGCTCACCCCTGCCTGGACGTGCGGGCATTTCCATACATCCTCTGAAATCTACGTGGAGGTTCTCAAACCTCAATTCTTGACTTCTGTGCATCTGCAGGCTCACCACCACATGGAAGCTGCCAAGCCTTGGGGTTTGCAACCCTGAAGTCACAGCCCAAGCTGTATCTTGGTCTCTTTTAGCCATGGCTGGAGTAGCTGGGATGCAGGTCACCAAGTCCCTAGGCTGTATACAGCAAAGGGGCCCTGGGCCCAGCCCATAATACTGTTTTTTCCTTCTAGGCCTCCAGGCCTGTGATGGGCAGGGCTGCTGTGAAGGTCTCTGACATGTCCTGGAGATGTTTTCTCCATTGTCTTTGTGATTAATATTTGTCTCCTTGTTATTTATGCAAATTGCTGCAGCCAGCTTGAATTTCTCCTTAGAAAATAGGTTTTTCTTTTCCATTGCATCATCAGCCTGCAAATTTTTCAAACGTTTATGCTCTGCTTCCTCTTGAACACTTTGCTGCTTAGAAAATTTCTTTTGCCAGATGCCCTAAATCATTTCTTTCAAGTTCAAATTTCCAAAAATCTCTAGAGCAGGGGCAAAATGCCACCAGTCTCTTTGCTAAAACATAGCGAGAGTCACCTTTGCTTCAGTTCCCAACAAGTTCCTCATCTCCATCTGAGACCATTTCAGCCTGGACCACATTGTCCATATCATTCACTATCAGCATTTTGATCAAAGCCATCCAACAAGTCTCTAGGAAGTTGCAAACTTTCCCACATCTTCCTGTCTTCTTCTGAGCCCTCCAAATTGTTCTAACCTCTGTCTGTTACCTAGTTCCAAAGTTGTTTTCACATTTTTGGGTATCTTTACAGCAACAGCTCACTCTACTGGTACCAATTTACTGCATTAGTCTCTTCTCACATTGCTAATAAAGATATACCCAAGACTGGGTAATTTATAAAGGAAAGAGGCTTAGTGGGGCTCACAATTCTACATGGCTGGAGAGGCCTCACAATCATGGTGGAAGGCGAAGAAAGAGCAAAGGTATGTCTTACATGGTGGCAGGCAAAAGAGCTTGTGAAGGGGAACTCCTGTTCTTAAAACCATCAGATCTCATGAGACTTATTCACTACCACGAGAGCAGTATGGTGGAAACCACCTACATGATTCAATTATCTCCATTTGGTTCCATTTGGTCCCATTTGGGATTCAATTATCTCCATTTGGTTGGTGAGGACACAACCAAATCATAGCAGTAAGTCCTTACCCTTCTATCAGGCAAGGCCCATATGCCATGCCCTGAGCCTCACCTATATTCCTCTGATTGTGTGCCTCCCCTGAGAAAAGAGTTTATGCAGCCACCTGGATGTGCCCACCTGGAGCCTACATCCACAGTTCTTGACCACACTCCAGGTACTTGAGATTTGGAATTCCCTAAACAAGTGATCCCAAACCCACTCTTAGGGCCTGAACAGGCCTCTTGTGGTTCATATATCATTGAGGGGTAGTCAAAAGGCTACTTTTGGTGGAGGTGAAAGTGTGAAGGTAGACCTGGGGTATGTGTGCTACAGTTTACACACACACACACACACACACACACACGTCCACTTTTGGTGCACGATGGGGCTGGGGTGAGGAGAGAAATGGGAAGGCTACAGGCTGGGGCCAAGGTCTAACTCCCTTCTCTACCACTGCCATGTTCTGGAAAGAAACTCCAAATAGTATGAGAATCCTAACAGCAAACCTGGCTGTTCAAGTCATTATGAAGGTATGTTTGTTGTAGTAGGAGACTAGAACACACTTTAACAATCTGTTAGCTTGATTTATAACATAAATATATGGATATAAATATGCAGACCTTCCATTTCCACTCTTGCCCTGAGCACAAGACTGGACAAGGGCTCCACACTCCAGCATTCTTTCTATTTCCATCTCTTATTTTGGCCTCTTACTTTCTCTTATCTTAATTCTTTCCAACTAATCAGCCTTTGAGCAGACAAATAGTATGGGTAGTGGCAGCTTGAGATTCACATTCTAATGAGGGGCAAAGAATCTTCCATGCTGGT